ATATCATTAGTGTAATGCTCCTACTGCTGAGATATGGGGAGAATCCAAAAAGTGGGGGAGGAATGACTCACACTTTTTATTTAGCTTGTGGAGGAAGATGAGCACAGAAAAATGTTGTTCTTCTTTGTCTCTTGAGAAAAAAACTGGAATTAATGGCAAAGAACCATGAAAATTAAATTGATTTCATATTGTAAACTAAACTAATGTAACAGCTGCATTCCCTCAGTCTGCAGAGTTAGTCTGGATACACTGTACTATAAGCAGTGTGTTTGACAGTGCATGTGATCTGTTACTGTAAAACACACTATATAGTCTGATAAGAGATGCAGCTGAGTACTTTTGGAGTATTTTTTGTCTGGTGCTTTATAATTGATATTGGTCAAATTAGTTTTATTTTATGTCATGCATGCAACATGATATTTGCATTCATTGCTCTGATTGTGTTGTTGTTGAGTACTTGGCATGAGTTGCACTGTGCAGCAGTGATGTCTCCTGCCACGTGTAAATAAGTTAGCTAAATAGGCACTTTGTGTTTGTGTTGTCTCATTTCTACACAAAACAAGCAATTCGATTCTTAATAATGTATGGCTTATTATTTTATAGAACTATGGGTTTGATTTACTTTTTTATGTATTTCCAATGTGCCACCCCCTCTGAGTCTGTGCCGCAGCCTGGCCACCCCATCCACAATTTTTGAGCTCAGCCCCAGGGGTGGGGTGACTAACTATGTGCCACAGGGAGTCAGAAGTATGTAGGTTTTCAAACCAAAAGGCACCTGGCATGAAGGGTTTCCCTCTGAGTTAGTTGGTTGGCATGAAACCCTGCTGATTGTTGGCCACCCCTGTGCTCGGGGTCTCTGAGCATAAATGTTAAAATGTACAATTGGCTCTGACATCCCTTATTATGCATGCATGTTGTTGTGCATGTACCCCATTCTGTTCATGCATCCTGAACACAGCAGTGCCTGTCAGGAGTCATTATGATCCAGTGGTGCATTTTGGTCCTGTTGCCCAAAGCAGGTTAATGCAGCTGTGTTTACTCTGACTTAAGTCAAAGTGAAAAGGTCTGGATAGAGATGTTATTGAGACAACTTTGTTAAAATGACTGTTGTTACTGGCACTAAGAAGTAAAAGGTAAGTTAAGTGCAAAGTCAAATTCAAAGTCTTGTGACAGCTCTGAAATGTTGTCACCTCTAACATAAGAAAGGCACTTGAACACATAGTTTGGATGTTTTTGCAGGTTGGCTGCAGCACCATGTCCTCGGCTCAGAGTGGGGATATATCGGGCTACCATCTGAGTGGTGAGTGGACAACGCTGGATGCCGGAGACAGTTTCCAGCATATTTCTTTATGGATCTTTTCATTCAGTGGTGTTCATTTATGTGCCTGTCCTTGGGTCAGTCTGACAGCTGTTGTCACCCGTATATCAAGCTTTAAACACCTTTGGCCTTGTCTTTTGCTGAAGGCCGTCAGTGTAACAAAGCATTTTAACTGGCATTATAATTTGTTTATCTCTTCTCTTAGAACATAGATACAAAGCTGTCAGAGTCCTTCCACAGATGCTATTCATCCTCAGAAAGCCACTTTGGTGAAGGCTCATAATCCCTCTCTAAAATGCAATATGAGATTCTATGACGTTCGGAGCAGCATTTCAGTTTGCCCGTCACACTTGATCAGATTTTGTCTCAAACTATTACCTCATTTGCATAAAGTTTTATTTGTCCTGTCTCCCAAAGTCACAACTCACTGCTAAATGACAAAGCTTGGAACAGTTTCTGACTGTGCCCAGTGTCTCTGGCCTTGTTAAGACTCTTACTAGTCTTTAAATAAAAAGCCTTGCTAAACTCCCTGTCCTAGTTTTCTCTCAAACTGTGTGTTTCAAATTTCCTCTTTAAATATAAAATACAGTTAAATGCAACTACATAAGGATAGGTAGCCTTATCCATGCTTAATCACCTTAAGTGCTTGTTGTTGCGTGTCTGTTTTAGTGGTGCGTAACCCACCCGGATGGGAGATAGGGGTTTACCTGGTGGGCTTCTTCGTGCTGCTGGGAGTAGCTGGGCTCAACATCTGGAAGCTGTGGAAGTCTGGAACCTTCCCCACACCATCCCCTTTCCCCAACTTTGACTATCGATATCTGCAAGAAAAATATGGAACCTCCTTCTCAGAAGTCAGACAAAAGGTATTTTTACATTCATGCTAACTAGAAATGTTAAACATCACTTTTGTGAACAAAGTACAAATCTCTAAAACTTCCCCATTAGCCAGGGAAGTGGAGGTTTTGAGGAGATGGAGCTTTTAGTGGCAAAATCAACCCTTTTTTTTGCCTGGAACAAGAAATCATGTGGCAGGAAGGGTTGGGAGTCTGTCGCTTTTTCTTCCATTTGGACTGCAGCAGCTGATTGCAAAGAAAGATTTCCAGTGGCTGAAGCATTATTATTGTTTGACTTTGTTTTGACCTTCAGCGTTTGGGCCTCAATGGCTTAAAATGTGTTGTCTCAGTTCTAGTCTGGGTCGTATTTTTGCAATTTGATGTAGTGGCCAATGTAAAAACTCTATAAACTGACTATCCACTACCTACTCAACATCAGGCAGCAGGCAGACAAAACTATTGACTTGCTGGTGAATATACTGGAGCATTTAACAGCAATAGAGGCCAATATTTCCCTCAGGAGTCGGTAGGTCAAAGACAGAGCTGAAAGAATGTATATTTACTACTTTCAAGCTTCACTTTGTGGCTGTAACATGCAGTTTTTTCCCATCTCGAGATTATTTTACATTTATTTTTGTCCCTCTTTTATCCCCTCTCTAAAGAGAGTTGCAGCCAATAACCACCGACGGACCTCCGCCACCTCCAGCCGCAAGCCCAGCCTGGCCCTTGGCGACACCCCAGATGGCTTCAGGGACCTGGGCCACCTGGAGCTGATGAGCAAGGAGCTGGACCCAACTGGCATGGCCCAGCTCAACCGATCCATCTCCACTGACTCGCTCAGTTCCATCTCTTCCATCGCCAACAACTTTGGCCATGACTTCACGGTCGGCCAGCTGGAGGTGACACTTGAGTTTGAGCTATCCAGGCAGCAGGGAGTGGGAACCCTCCACCTCACTCTGCACCAGGGCAAAGACCTGTTGGAGAAGGAGGAGGGAGACTTCCCTGGCTGTTTCATCAGAGTCTCCCTGGGGCCAGAGGAGCTTAATGTGGGAGTCACAAGGGTAAGGAAGTTGCTGTATTCTTGTCTTTTGGTGCTTATATGAATATGTTGTCTTCGAAGATAGAGAAAAGAAAAACCTGCTGAAATGATAAGGTGTAGCTTTCCTCAACACGGGCTGCTGGTTGGACCTGAGCATGCAATCTTGACCTTGGAACCTTTTTTGTGGCTTTCATGTAACAAATGACTTAAGCTTCCCTATAGAGTTTTGTCCTCTAGTAGCACTGTGGAGCAGTATTTTTATGGGTGAGTCCTCAGTTTATTTGCTGGCTTTGTTAGAGCCCAAACATAAAAGAGTGTAAGCAGAACTCATGTTTGTGTGGAAACTCCACAAGGCACTTTTAAAAGGAGCTCCTAAAAGGTGGGCTAATGCAGTTTTGTGTATATGTACATGCATATTATGGCTGCAACTTATTTTGAGCATTGCTTAATTGGCTAATCATTTCAGCACTGGTTGTAAGTGTTACTGCATGTGCAGACATGGTTGTACTTGGCTAAATTTTAGACAGCGATGTGTCTGATGGGGTAAGACACTCGATTCTGCAGCTCGACAAGCCAGTCTTTTCCTGTCTGAGTGAAAAGCCCATTTCTTTTTTTGGAGTGCCAAGGTCCCTGGGAGCTGGATGACGTCAAGAACGCTCCACATGCACATTCATCAGAAGTGAAAATGTAGTGTTTTTAGCTGCAATTTAGGCCATAATAATGATAACATGTGGCATTATTCACTAATTACGAGCACCATAACAATCCTGAGATTCATTTTCACTTGACTCAGTTTAAAATACTGCTCCACAGTGCTAAAAGAGGACTTTAGGGGGCAGGACTGGGAAGCAGTTTACAGAGAGGAAGACTTAGACAAAGCATATGAACAATTTTTAAATATATTTAAGAAAGTATATGACAGGAACTGTCCTCATAAGCAGTATAAAAACAAAAGGAATTACAGTGGGAAACTGTGGATGAGTAAGGGATTACAGAATGCATGTAATAAGAAGAATGCGTTATATAAGGAATTCATAAAG